TCTTTCCCTCTGCTATTTCATGTCAGGCTCTTTCCCCATCAGGCTGTCTCATGTCTTGCTTGGCTTATGCCCCATGTATGAACACTGCATATGTTCACAGTATCCCGACCACTGCTTTTTAGGTGTGTATGTCTGGTACTGAAGCCATCCCACAAAAGCTCTCTGCAGCCAAAGCTTCTCTCCCTTTCCACCCTGTAGTGCCAGCTGGGATTTATGGTGATGCTTGGTCTGTTGATATAGCATGAACAGAACTTGCTGGATTCCATTCAGTTTCCCCTCTCTTGTGGCATTAAAATCTCAGCCCTGATGCCCTGGAGCAGGGGTAATTGAGAAGTACCTAATGGCCTCCCATTCCAAAAAGTACCATTGCTCTGACACCTCCAGGAACATTTCCATTTTTCTTCTCTCCCCCAGCCAGACCCTATGGATGAGTAGGAGGTGGATGTGTGAGACTGTGTAGAGGTGTGTTTGTTTTCTCTCACCCTTTCCATCACTGTGAAGAGTGAACTTGTGTCAGTGTCCTCTCCTGTACATCTGGCTAATCTTTGCCATTTAAAATAGCTCTGGCCTTGGGACTTCACATAATTGTGTCTCTTTCCTGCTTCCCACTACTTGCTTCCAAGTTTCCTGCTGCTGAGGCCACCAGGCAGCTGCATTGTACCTTGAGCCAGTGAAAGTGCTCCAACATAGAACCAACTTCCTAGAGAAGTGGTGCTGGCTTCTACCCTGGGAGTCTTTAAGAGGAGGCTAGATGAACACCTGCTGGAGTCGTTTGACCCCAGTACTCTTTCCTGCCATGGCAGGGGGTCGGACTTGATGATCTGCTCAGGTCCCTTCCGACCCTACCGACTGTGAAACTATGAAACATAAACTGCCCCATTACCTGCATGATGGCTGCACCTAGAATTGGCATGCAATTGCACAATGAAGCTGTGAAGCCATGTATCAAGTGCAAATGTATCATGTCTTATTCCTGCTAGTTCTCCTGCTTTTTGTGTCCCCGCTCTCTGTTGTTGTTCTTCTCTGGACTTTCCCCATTCATCTATTTCTGTTTCACTGCCTGACAGCTTTTTCCAGCTTCCCATGACCCATGTAGCTTCAGTTGCCAGCCTCTGACAGGAGCAGTCCTGTACACAGTCTTTACTCTTTCTGGCTGAGGAGAGGGTGCTCCTGCTCTCCACTTTCTAGATCCTCTCCATTTAGTATAACTGCCAGCTGGGCTGTGCCATAACCAGATGCACAGAAAATGCCAGCACTAGTGATGGCTGCTGCTTCCTTGGTTCCTTAGCTACTTTAGAAGAGTCTAGAGCCTCCCATCCCCACCCCGGCCTTCTCATTCTTGGAATGTGATGGACACATTACGGCAATAGTTCCCTCCCCCCTTCCTTCTGAATTGTTTTAAGTGCAAGTGTTGCAGTGTTTGCCCTGTGTGTGCCACAGCAGTGCATGCTGTGTAGGGGGAGGGTGACTTTAAGACTTGACTAGGCTGTTTGGAGACTGGCATATTTCAGTCTCACTGGTAGCCATTGCATCCTGCAGGAAATGCACCATGCCTCCCCTTCATCCTTGCTGTGTTGGCTTTTAAACCTAATGGTCACAGCAGCATAAAGGAGCCAATGCGCCTACACTTTGTGGGTTGGGGACACTGGAATCCAGAACACAAGCAGGCCCCACAGTTAATACCCAGTGCTTGGGACCTTGGTGTGGAGTGAGGCATGGGTGGGTGGGAAAGAACAGCCTTTTCTGTATCGGGGCTCAGGCATGTACTCATGTTCTCCCTGTTTTACCAGATGAATTTGGGTCTCCTTCAAGTTATCCATGCCCCTCATGTTAATTTATGCACTTGTGAAACCCCTCGATGGGGCCTCTGGGGTCAAGGGCCTGTCTTGCCCTGACTAGATGTGGTGCTGTTCTAGCAGTAATGTGAGGTTACTGCTGATTTCCCAGCCCTGCAATTCCTAGCAGGTAGCACTTCCAAGAAACCCTATAACTTGAATCTGTTTATTTTGAAGTGTCTCCATAACCTGTTTCTAGGGCTGTGTGGTGGGTTGATCTGTGACATGGTGACAGATTTCTGTTGTTCCTACCCTGCCCTCAGCTGCTGGAGCTTGGACAGGGTGGAATGGAAGCTAATGGACTTTTTTTTTGTAATGGCCTGCTCCAGATGGACAAGGTGGAGGCGTTCAAATACAGCCAGAGTACAAAGGACAGCCTGCATGCTAAATACAACACGCACACCTGCGCAACTGTGGTTGGAGATGATCAGTGGGGTCATTTGCAGTTAGATGCCACCTCACTTTATCTGCTCATGTTGGCACAAATGACAGCCTCAGGTAACACTTCTGAGCATTTCTATGGTTCTAATTACAGTGGCACCTTCTAAATATTTGTGAATTAAACCTCGCTCAGCCCTGAGAGTCAGTAGCAGTATTCTCATTTTGCAGATGTGGAAAGCAGCTTAAAGAAGGAATAGATGCATGATATACAGCTCTACTGGCCTAACTTAGTTGAGTCTGGTGTAGATTTATGGATGTTTACATTGGTGTAGGTGTCCCATGTCTAGAGCTATTCTGTGTTAGCTGTTTGTTGTAGGCAAGCACTGTTACCTGCTCCCCTTCACCAAATGACAAGGCATTGTAATAGCATCTACCTTGAACAGCTGTCCTGGTCATGTCTGCATTGGGATTCTGTGTGATTTTTATGTTGGTTTACACTGGAGCTTCTCAACTGGGGACCTGGCCCATGAAGGGTTAATTTGCAGCCTCTGCAGCATCTGACTGTGACTCCTCTCATTGCTCCTGCTGCACCACTAGCCAGATATTTCCAGACTTATACTTTCTACACTGGCCCAGGGGATGGTGTGGCATAGTCTGCAGTGCTGGGGAAGCCCACAGCATGCTATGGTAGGTGAGCCCATGGCTGGGTGCCTGTGCATATGGTGCACCAGTAGGGGTGCCCCCTTGTGGCCCCTGCTGGTGCTGCTCCTAAGTTCCCCAGCTGCTTAAGAGTTGGGCAGCCCTTGTGTACAGCACCAATGTTAATTACATAAATTACATAAACAGCATAAATCTATTGTGCATCCAAGCCGAGAGGTATACAACTTGCTCAATTTGCCCAGAAAGGCTGTGGCAGAATTCAAAAGGGAACCCAGACTTCTAATCCCAGTGCTGCACTCAGGTCATAACAGTAAATTACTGACCAGTAATTTGGCTCCTGGGTTTACCTACAATCCGAGTAACACAAGGACTAGTTGTTAAAGCAGAACCAAGAAACCAGAAGATCTGGAACCAGATGTTGCCTTTGCTGGAGGTATGTTATGCAGATCTGGTTACCTGACTACTTCCTTGTGTCTCGGTTCCCCACCATGTGTTAAAGGAGGATGATAATACTGACCTGTCTCAGAGAGTTTGGGAGGGTTCATGAATTATAGGGTATTAAAAGCTTTCAGGGAAGGCTGTTTAGAAGGACTGAGCATTATCCAGCTCCACCAGTTGCCTTGTTGCTGGTAGAGAGACCCCCAAAGTGAGACTCTTTTAGGCCATATCTGCTGGAGGAACTGCACAGGAGGTTGCTCAGCCTGTGTGGAGAATTCATCCTCTGTTCCTTGCAGCCAATTTCTACTCTGTATAGATCAGTACAGGGTTGCAGGGGCTGAGGTGGACAATCAGATCTGTCCTGATGTGATGCCATGTATCCTAAAGGCCTCTGTTATAACCCTGCTTCAGAGAGTGCTTATCCTGCCATTACTGTGCATCTTCATGGTGCAGTCTGGTTGCTGACAGGTTGAATCAGCATACTTAGCTGTGCATGGGCTTTCTTACACAGATAGTGAAGTGCCTACAGCCTCTAATCTGTTATGTATAATAAGTACAGCATGTCTGGTGGCTGCTGGCAGCACAGGTTCAAATTTTGCCTTGGCATAAGTGGATGCAACGTGACAAGAAGCCAGAGCTCTGTGAGTCTGTGCTGAAGCATGTTTACAGGGGATGGTGAGGGGAATCGGCTTCTATCTATACCTCCTCTGGGGATAGAGGGCTCCATTTCCTGACCTCAAGCTGTCATCTCCACCAGGATGAAAGGCATTTTACTTTTTAAAACCAATTTGCACTCCCCATTCACTTCCGAAAGCTGGGACTAGCAGGTATAGCTACGGTAATGTTAAGTAGTACATGGACCAGATTTAAGCTAATACAAGAGATTCCATGCACACAGGTTTAGCCAAATTTGTGTGATGTCTGACCTTTTATTAAGGTGTTGGAATGTGTGTGTAACTTACCTGGGACTGAAACGTGTTGCCTGAGCTCTGCTTCTTTCTCTTGGTCTAGAAGGCTGGGGAATGCCATAGGAATGCCCCCTGCTTATGACTTTGCATCCATTGTTATCACATAAACCCCCTTCTGACCCCCAACCAGGGGTCTGAGTAGATTGAAGCCCCATTGCCCTTCTCTCAGTAAGAGAGAGTCTCTGTTCCAAACCCACCTACACCCTAAGATCCTAGTGGACCCTCACTTCATTCAGTGGGATTCCCTAGTCTCTTGTTATGTGGTCAGCTTATCATGAGAGCACACAAGGATGGGGTGGGTTTATGTGAAAGACTCACTAAAGTATGGGATGGGCAGGAGATGAGTGACAGCTGCTGACAGTTCTAGCTAGGAGCAAGCTGATGGCTTCAAAGTTTGTGTGCATCTCATCGAGGTAAATGGATAGTGAATGTGGATTTGCTGATTATATGGCCTAGCTTTAACTTACAGGAGTTTATAGTTTTTCCTCTCTCTTCTTCAGGGCTTCACATAATCCACAGCCTGGATGAGGTCAATTTCATACAGAATGTCGTCTTTTACATTGAAGCAGCCTACAAGACTGCAGTGAGTAGCCCTTTCCCAACCCATCCTCAGCTGAGTGTGAAGATCACTCCCTGTTTTCCTTCAGGGGAGGTTAAAGGTGGTAGGAGGGGGAATTCTAGATTGGATTCTGGGCCATGTGTGCAGGGGTGAGTTTGTTATTGTTTTTTATGGCATGACTTAAAGTGCATTGGTCACTGTCAAGGGCTTGTGCTGCCACAGTCCAAACCTGCTCTCTGGCTGTTGTGCAGAACTTATAGCTGTGCCTGGCAGAGGGCCAACAGAAAATGTCCTGTGCTTTTCTGCTGCAGTGACACAGAACTGGAGGAGCTGAGCAGCTCTGTGTGTGGCAGGACATAAAGGGTTGCTACTGCCTCAGTGTGCCAGGAACCAAAGGAGTCCCAGGTCGCAGGCAGGGCCTCCATGCAGGCTGAGCTCCACTCCTCCTTCTCTAGCAGCACAACCCTTGGCCATTTGAGCCCAAAGGAAATCAATGGTAATAGAACAGGCCTTGGACACCCAGCTGAGGAGTTCTCTGTGCTGCAGTGGTGTGCACACGTGGCCTGTTCGGACCAGTGGCAGGCACCCTCTGATGCTAGTTCTAAGTGTGCTTACTGCTGAGACGCACATGGTCACCCCTTGACATCATGCATGCTTTTTGGCACAGTTTGGTCTATTTTGGTGTAACCCAAATGCACTTTCAGGCTTCCTGTTTGTCCTCAGAACATGCATTTTTGCCGTGAGCTAGGGATACTTTCCAATTCTTGTGTCAATCTCCTAAACTCCTCATCCAGTTCTATACTATTTGCAAACCACAAATGGGATTTTCAATAGTTTCCCAGCTGGTTGTGGCTGGGGGTGGGGGGCAGTGCTTCAAACAAGCACTGGGCCAGGCTGTATGCTCACAGTGGGGCCCCTTGGCCCTATCACCTGAACTCGGCGGACTTTGGAGAGGCAGTGTTGTCCCCTGCATGGGGCACTGTCAGGAGCTCAGAGTTGGAAGACTGGTTTTGCCACTCATTTTGCTGTGTGTGACTGGGCATGCTGCTGTCTTTGCTTCTATGTCCCCAGTTATATAATGGGGTTATAATGCAACCTACCTTCTGAAATCTACAGTTGGCAAGTCTGATTTGGGCTTCACATGTCCAGGGCTGGAGGCCTGCAAGTTCCTATAGGGCTCTGCTGGGACAGCAGCCTCATGTGTAGGCGACTGTTCCAGTAAGCACGGCAGTTTTTAATAAACAGATTCCGTATTTGAATAGGATTGTAGATTTACAGTGAGCTTTGACCCAGCTCATAACTTTGTAGGAGAAGTGTTGTGTTGGGGACCCTGTAAGATACTTCTCTCTGCCTTGTGTGGCTTCGTAGTACAGAGGTTCCCTGTTGCTTACAGTTAGGCAAACATGAACCAAAGGGCTGTTTTCTCGTCGTCCTGTTCTGGTCTATGGCTCTGCCTTGCGAATTGCTGTGGCCTCCTACTGTTTAGCATCTCCCTGATAGGTGTCATGAGCACTCCTGCCTCACTGATGTCTTTCAATTTGTAACAGGACTTTGGGATATGGGAGCGTGGAGACAAGACGAACCAGGGAATCACAGAGCTGAATGTGAGTTCGGTTGGCATGGCTAAGGTGAGCAAGAAGGGCGCAGGAACAGGGCGGAGTTCCTCACTGACATTGAAATTACATTTCTCCTGGGATATGGTGACAAGCTGTGCTGGAGTGACTGCACTGTTGAGCTTGGATGCAGCTGTCTCTGTACTTGCCCCTGTACTTGGCATCAGTTACCAACTGGCCTTGTTAGCCAGGCTCAGCAGCTCTTTGTAAGAGCTTGAATCTCTAGAAGGTGTTTGGCCTATCTGTAGCTAGATCACACAAGGGGAGATTTTCTCCTAGGCTATCAGGGCCTGGTATTCTATGCTGCCTGATTGGGCCAAGATAACTCTGTTGCCCCAAATAACCACTTTATGTAACTGGTTCAGTTATGGGGAGTAGAGGTGCATCATTACATTTGTCCATATCATATTGGCACTGATAAAAGGAAAATTGACATTATTGGCAGTCGGTGTTTTTTGGCTGATGTGGTCAATAGTGTCACCGATTTAAATGCCATGTGCATGCATGTAGCTGCAGCATGCATGCAACCGGCCCACCAGCTTGGAGAGCAGTGTCCAGCCAGTAAGTTTGTAGGCGGAAGAGGCATGGGGAAGGGAAAGGGCGGGGGGGGAGGGGGAGATTGAAGGGGTGGGGGCAAG